AAACTAGATGGTATTCATAACACTTTCCACGTATGTTATTTGAGGAAGTTCACAGGAGAAGTTCTCGACATAATTCCAATTTCTGAATTAAGGTTGGATGAAAGCAAGAGGTCAATTGAAGAACCGGAGGCAATCGTTGACCGTAATACTAAGAAGTTGCGACGCAAGATGCGATGGAAAATCGGAGTACGCCCAGCTTACAGGAGTACGCCAAGTATACTCGTGTACACGGTCCGAGATTGGCCACGTCGCCTACTCCTTCGCATGGTGCACACGTGTCTGTAGCCTTGACGCGTCCGAGCTAATCCCTTCGTACGCCCAGCGTACGAAAGCGTACACCCAGCAAAGAGCCTTGCAAGGCAGTACGCCCCGCGTACCAGAAATTACACCCAGTGTAATGAGGAGCTTTGGCCTCCTATAAATAGGATGCGAGTCTGTCCCGAAAATGTTCACAAAATTTGCCCTTTTTCACCTTCTATTTTCTTTTTACCTACACTAAATACCCCCAAGCCTAGAGTATCATCCTAGCATCGTAAGCAAGCCCCGGAGACCCCGAAGATCCCGAGAAAAGAGTTTTTTGAGACGAAACTCTACCCGTGTGAAGCCCAGCTTTTGAGAAAACATCCCGGTTTCATCGAAAAATATTGTTTTAAGTGACGAAGTTCTGTCCAATCATCGTTAAATCAAATGAGTGTATAGTCACTTTCATCTTACACATAGATATGAAGTATTTTCTATAAAATACGTGTTATGTGTGTATATATTGTTTGTTTATTTGAGATAGGTGTTGAATAGATGTTTTATACAAGTTTTAAACTGTATATGTATTTTTATCTACAAATATGTTGGGTAAAACATGGGTAGATGAAATAGTTGATGTGTGATAAAATGATGAGAGGCATCGATGTTGTTGTTGTTGTTGTAGTCATCTAGCGGAGTATAGATAACGACCAAGGACCTTTCTAGACAGTCCAGTGGAACGCTAGCAGGCTCGCAACCTGTAGGTGTTGGTGAACGATATGTTCGCTGGTGTACTCCATCCCCCTCATGGTTGCCTTACAGACATATATGGCTGAGGAATCCCCTTAGCAGTAAAGTCCATCCTGATGATGATCCTTAGGCTAGGTCCCTTATGATAGGTGTTTAGGGACGTAAAGTGAGGATAACAGGAACGGGTAATCATGGTTATTGTTTGTTGATGAAATTAATAAATTTATTGCTGATTGATGAAATTAATAAATGTATTTATTGTGGGTTGAAAACCATATATGCTCACCAGGCTCCCAAACCTGACTCACTCAACTTTCTATATTACAGGTAGTAGACCCAGAGCATAGTTGGATGATGACGAGGGATTTCTGGATTATAGGTCAGTTGATGTAAATAACTGTTGTAATGCTTATAATGTACTATTTATGCTTTTGGTCTATATCGATGTGGACATCCCAAGTTTTGTAATGAAATGAAAATACATTTCTTTAAGAAATGCTTTGATAAATATTTTTTTATCATATTTTGTTTTGGGACAAATTCCGCATATTTTATTGGAGAGATTACTCTGATTTTATTTTAAAAGCATAAACTAAATCGTCTTTTCTGACCGTGAAAAATGGGGTAGTCACATTAATAAATCATAAATAGCCTCTTCTCAAAAGTCTATCCTTACAAATGTTTTGGTGACATGTAACCCAAATGGATCATGCTACTCTCGGGTCAAGTACATACCAATTATAGTTATGGACTTAGACACCTTATCCAACAATAATATCATAGCATACTAGCACATAAAGCATAACAGATAGTGGCATACCAGACAATTATCACAAAGACAAACATATCTACTATAATCACCTACTAGTGGGCCGGCACTGGTGTCTTAGACCCACTTTTACTGGAAGGTAACTCACCTCAACTGCTGTAGAGTAGTTGAAGTGTCCTCGGTTCTGAAATCAACCCCGCTTAAACTCCTCAAATGAGACAGAAATGAAGCCTAACTTCTGGATCAACTAGCTTCTTCTCGAATCCACAAGCTTCTCCTTCCTTCACAAGCTTCAAAATCACAAAGAATGCACAAAAATGGCTCAAAACTCTCCAAAAGTGGATTAGGGTTTCGTGGATAGGGTTTGGGACGATGGAGGCTGTAAATGAGGCCAGCCTTTGGAGGTTAAGGTGTTTAAATAGGGTGCAAAACCCTGAAAATTAGAGTTTCATTCTGTCAGTCCTACTCGTCGAGTTGAGGCTCTCAACTCGTCGAGTAGACTTCCCATCCCGCGTCCAATTTCCATCCCTACTCGATGAGCTTGGGGCCTCCAACTCGTCGAGTTTCCAAACAAAAATAAATAAATTATAACTTAAAATACATACTAGGAACCGGGCGTTGCATTAACCGTAGAAGTTAATATGCCAAAATCCCCCGGGAGAGGGGTCGGGCTGAAAATTTTCTTTTTTATTTTAAACAAACGTGAGATGAGAGACGTTGTCCTTTTGACTTATAAAACCAAATTACAAAAACGTAATTATTTGCATATAGTTGAAGCTGGTAATGGGTCGATTTGGGTTGGGTTCGGGTTCAACCCATTTATTAATTGGGTTGAATATTTCGATCCAAGCCCACTTCTTTATTTTAAATGGGTAGATATTTACAACTCAACCCAACCTTTTAGATAAATGAGTTGTCACCATTGTTTATGTAATTCTCAACCCAACATATTAAATAAATGGGTTAAACCTGGGTTAACCCATTTAAAATAAAAAAGTAAATAAATTAACTAAATATTACCCCACTTAAAATAGTTCTAAACTTAAATATACTTTGAAAGTATAATAAAAGCACAATCTCAATTCATAAATACAAAGAAATTGTTCAAATGGGTTGGGTTAAATTAAATATATACTTAAATAACTAAATTAAATAAATTAACTAAAGATTACCCTACTTAAAATAGTTCCAAACTTAAAAATACTTAAAATAGTTCCAAACTTAAAATATACTTTGAAAATATACTTTAAAATAGTAAAGATATGTAATTTCGAAATAATTTTGAAGAGTGACTAGTGTTATTGACGCAAAGAAAAAAGATACGAATTAGGATTTGCATTTTTTTAAAAAATAGATAACAATATAACATTGTAATTTATAAATTAATACTAAGATTAATACATGGTAATATTTAAATAATTATTAAATTAAATATATATTAAAGTTAAATGGGTTGGTGGGTTGAAAACGGGTTGATAATTTTTACTCAACTGAACCTATTTAATTAAATGGGTTAGACGGGTCAACCCATTTAACCTAAATGTGTTGAAAATCTCAACTCAACCTGTTAATTTTGGGTTGGGTTGGTGGGTTGGATCGATTTTTTCCAGCTCTATATATATGTTTGAAAAGTAAACAACAATTTATGCTTTAAGGATCGTATAATTTGTATATTATAAAACCTATAAAACTAAATTGTTTATTAGTATTACATGAATTATATATATTTATATATAAGTACAAAAAGCAATTTAGTCCATGGTTAAGGCCTCGGTGCCTTGAGCTATTTCATTATTAAACCATCCGTTATACCCACCATTAACCACTATACTGGTGGTGTCGCGTCATCACCACTAACTATCGCTAAACCTATGGGATATCCACCACTACCACTACCACTCCACTCCACATCAATTTTTTTTATTTTTTGTATTTCAAAAATAAAATAAAAAATGGGGTAAGTTTTGTTAATATGCGAAAAATCTAGGGATTGAAACTGGAAATTTCTGAAAATTTTGATTATCTCTTCCCCTCTAAAGTGCAGAACCCGTCACATGCAGTGTTCCTCCTCTTTCCCTATTGGTCGTTGCCCTTCGTTGTGTGCACCACAATTGACCACGAACACGGAAGAACACAGAAGACCACGAAACGTCGGGGTGGTGTGCCCGTGGCCACCTAGACTAGGAAATAATCCTAAAACCCATAAATTTGTTAGAATGGGTTTCAACCCAAAATAGAACCGGGAAAAACTGAAAACCGAGAAACGGAACCTATAATTTTGGGTTTGGGTTTAAAATTTTTGAAACCGAAGCTTATTAGATTGGGTTTGGGTTTAAAATTTTGAAAACGAAGTTTGTCGGTTTGGGTTCGATTGTAGGTCAAAATCAACCCAAACCGACTCATGCTCGCCCCTTATAGAAACGACACCTAGGACAGCTGAACCACAAGACATCTATGTATATGTTTGAATAAAATGATATTTATTAATATATTAACTAGATAATTTGGTTAAAACGTGACCGTATTTTGGGTTACACGGGCCGTGTAATGCCGACGAGCTTCTTAAAACTATATAAATGTCTAAAAATAATGAAATACTCCCTCCGTCCTAAAATTATAGTCCATCTTTCCTTTTTGGTTTGTCCCAAAATAATAGTCCACTTCTAAAAATAAATAACAATTTTATCAAAATACTTATCATTATTACTTAACCAACTAAGCATTTAATGGAACATTAAATGCAAACTAATGACAAAACTGTCATTTTATTATATAAAGTTAGTGGTAATTAATATTTTTCTTAATCTGTGTGTTTTTTGTTTGTGGACAATAATATTGGGACAGAATGAGTATATATTTAAAAAAAAAGTTGGTGAAAAGGTGTGATGGTAGTATGCCCTCCAAAGTGAAAGGGTGTCAAATGTTGAGGGGTTGTTGATGTTGAGTAAAAGGGTATGATGGTGGTATGCCCACCGGCCTTGGTATTTGTTCGGTTGTTAAATATTTTCTGTGTAGATGCATAATTACTTGTGAAAAGTAACCGAGAATTTTTGCTGATTTGAACATAACAGACAAGGAGGATGTTACACAATTGGGGTTTAATCGAACATCTAGAGTGAAGATAGATGATTATAGGAGAAGATCACACAATATAATGTATGTGTTTGTGGTGGGTACATTATTCAATTCATCTGTACGAACAAGGATTTCAATTGTAAGAGTGATGCTACACATCTCCCTCCTAATTTTCTACATTACTAAATGAATAAACTGAAATTTCGCTTCTAGATCTTGATGCGCCAATGTCACGAATTGCTAGATACACTTGAAGCATGCTTGATGCCTCATGTCTAGGTGGATGAATGCACTTTTTTACTATTTTAAGTGTTTCATATATTTCCTCATCGAATCCTTGTCCCATTAAGCATTCATCAATCAGATTGAAGTCCCTGCTGCACAGATGACCTGTTAGGGAGTTGATCCATGTAGATGGTTTTCTACATATAGCTGGTTCTCTACCAGTAACCAACTCAAGCAACAAAATGCCAAAGCTATAAATATCCTCCTTGAATAGACTAGAATCTAGAACCACAAAATTGCAAACACTTAAAGGGGTGCCACTACAATTCATCAAGATTATGGCGTTGCCAAAATTTGATATCCTGGGCTCAAAATTTTCATCTAGTAAGATACATTTTGAGGTGATTCTGAGATGGGCTACGCGGAGGACATTGTTGTGATGCAACCATGCAACCCCTCGTGCTATCCCTACTGCAATCTTTAACCTTAAAGTCCATCCCATTTTCTTAGCTTCTGCTTCTGGTCTACCATGTAGCCATTGATGGAGGCTTCCATTACACATGTACCTGTATACCAGAAATTTCTTTTCCATTTCAAAGCAAAAACCTAGCAGTGGTACTAAGTTTGTGTGACGCAATCTTCCTATAATTTCTATTTCTGATAAGAACTCTTTCTCAAAGCTCTCAAACCTATGGAGCCTCTTGACTGCAAGCAGCAAAGCATTTGGAAACACAGCCTTGTACATGAGTCCCATGTCTCCTTGGTCAATTACGTTTTTATTGTCAAAATCATTAGTGGCCATTTGAATTTCCATCAAACTTAGTCTGCGGATAAACTTTTCCATGGCAGTTACCTGTGTATTAAACCAATAATTACTTATGTGTATTTACCTTCCTACTTTCTTGATGTAGAGAAAGGGACAGATGACTTTACCTTCATTTCCATGCTGTTAAGATCTTCTTCAAATAGGATTGTGGGGCTTGTTGGAATCTGGTGATGCTTTCTTCTTATTATGTTTTTGATCAAAAGATGATAGTAACTCATGGTTCTTTTACTTGGTCTTGTCCAGTATAAAAACATAAACAACATACTTAAAAATGTAGAAACAGATATTCCAGCCGAAAACCCTGAAAAGAAATGATGATCGAAAAAATATCGATCATCATGGACTTCATCCTTGCAGGATTTCAGTGGACCTCCACAAAGTCCTTTATTGTTTTTATAGTTTTGTCTGATAGCATCGTCAAACATGGGTACGTGTCCTGACAAGTTATTGTTAGCGACACTAAATTCTTTGATGCGCTTAAGTGCAGACAGTTCTGGAGGGATTTGGCCTGTTAGATTGTTATTGTCAAGCTTCAGAAGATTGATGTAACTACAGTTGCCAATGGTAGGCGGAATTGGACCTGAGAGACTGTTGTTGGAGAGATCGAGAGTGCTGATGAATCCTAAAACTTGTGCAATATTAGAAGGAATGGGTCCCGAGAGGTAGTTGTTAGAAAGATCTAATCCCGTCAAGCTGTTACAGTTTCTTATGCCCATTGGAAATGGTCCTCTGAGTCCCATGTCTGGTAGCCGAAGATTCAGAACCTTATTTTCATCAGGGTGCCAGCATTCGACACCAAGAAAGTGGCAGATTAAACCTTCAGTATTGTTGCTAAATATCCAGGAAGAAAGAGAACCTAAAGGGTCTTCCAGCGATTCCTTGATAGATCTTAGGCAGCTGATGTCTGATTCAACGGCATTACTTGAAGAAAAACAAGCTAGTATGATTAGCACTCGCAAGCATAAACTAGGAATACCGTTTCTTTTCATCATTAAGCCAAGATGACACAGTGAATACCTTCAAGTCATATAAGGTATAGAAAATGTGTGGTATGGACTGAGAGTCTAAGTCTCCTGTGGGAAGTGGGAACCACTTCTAAGAAAAATGGGGTAATTGAAAAATGTTGTTTTAGTCCAAGTCAATGAAGTCCATAAATTAAGGGTTGGGATATTGAAGATGATGACCCCAACCCAAGCCCTCAATTTGGACTTTTAAAGCCTCTGTGCTAAATGCTAATTCTAATTCGAAACTAATAAACTGAAGTTTTTTGGATTTAAAAAAGAAAAGTGATAGTAGTTATATAAACAAACAACATATATATCTTATAAGATTATGTTTAAGCAGATAATTTTGTATCCGTTTTATAGAGAACTTTGTATTCATTAACATTTACTAGCTTTTGTATTCCTCACATTATTTCTTCTGATTGGTGAAACTTGGATTATGGTCAAACCAAATCCTTTGATAATTCTTAATGTGTGTAATCATCTTTCCTCTTTATTTTTGTTATGTGCATGAATCTCCACATGAACTGTGGCCTTATTTTATATTAACACTAGATTCTTGGTTGAGTCAAATCCAGGGTCCAATGAAAATAGAGAGCAGTTTTAGTGTGATCTAAATATCCACAACACCAGACTTTTAGCCATATTAATCAGGAGCGAATTTTCCAATTTATGAGGAGAAAAATCTTTAATTTTTACTTTTATATTAAGATTATTAAAGATCTCTATTACGAATATTAATTGGAAGTGAACACTGTCAGCCCCCTCCTAAGCTTGATCATTACAGAAATAAGAACAAAGAATTGTTCAAAAAAATCCTAAATGGAGAATGTTTTTATTAATTTCAAGACCTATAGAAAAAAAAAAAAAAAAAAAAAAAAAAAAAAAAAAAACTTACAAATTTTCTGTATATAGATGAAATTAAATTTGGCTAGTATTGCCAAATTTCTGATTTTTAAAATTGACATTAAATTCTTCTAACTAAGCTCCTAAATAAAGATATAAAAAAATAAGAAAAAAAAAAACGGATATTCTCCCATTAATCACAAGTTTTAGAACATGGATTCCTAATTTTGCCTCTTGAATCAAAAGAAGATGCAACCCCTTTGATTTGTTGGTTTACTTCTGAACAAGCATCCATTACTAGACTTCAACATCCCATCACCATACCTTCATGAACAAAAGAAAACCATATATAGTTACAGAAAAGTAATAGGAGAAAATAGCAAAGTAAATGAATTCTTCTTCATATTTTCAATCATAATTTTGGAAGAGAGTTTATTGAAATCCAAAAAAAGATCATAATGAAACTTGGTCTCGAGTTATACATGTGCTATTACTTTCTAGCAGAAATACTCACAAGGTAAAAAAAACCTCAAGTTTGTTTACACCATGTAAGAAAACATTTCACGTAAATCTGAATCCGATAGATTAATAAATAAGACCAAAAGACCAAATATCATGACTTAGAAGAAGAAAAGAAAACAAAATCTCAAAATATTAAGCACAAGGTTGAATAAAACTTTGACAAGCATTTAGTCTCGGTTTTGTTAGAAAGACTAAAGAAGTAAGTGAGATTTCCATGGCGAACTCGGCTTATGTTTAAGTGAAATACATGATCTTTTTTTCGGACCAAGTTTTTTTCTTCTACAATAATGTTGATACTTGATAGTTCCCAATAATTTACTAAAAGCACATATGTTAGTCTTGGGAGCCTACTGGTTGAGGTATAAAATTCCATACATCCATGGTTTCAAAACACTAATACGTCCAAAATATTACTAGGATTCTAGATTTATTGCCCACCTTGGACAGGTTCAAGGTGCGATTTACCATTTTTAAAAGCACAAATGTTTGTTGAAATACATACCGGTTTTGATTGGCTGTGGTACAAGAGCTATTATTGTTGCATAATCCGCTGCTAATCTTGGTGCTTCCAACAAAAAGCCTAGTTCTACGTTTTTCAACATCAACAGAATGCTTCATTAAACCATCCATGGATTTACTTCGAGATACGTTGTGTTTCTTGGAGCCCAATGAACTCGGGACAAACATCTTAAGAATGTAAACTCCGGTATCAAGACTCACACTCCTTGAAATTGGACGATTTTTCGTGCCTTTCTTCTTTCTCTTTAGATCAAGCTTCGTGTGATCAATTATCTCTTCCATTGTTTCCAATTTTTTTGATTGATCTGAATCTTTCATCACTATATCTTTTAGGGACAACTCGTGAAATGATTCTGGCATCAGTTCCATGAGTTCTTTTCTTCCTTCTGTCATCACAGTTGTGGAATATGGTTGATATATGGAATCAGAAAAAACGTTTTTGGAATAAAGGGGTGCTGAAAAGCCAAAAGGGATTTTGTTCTCATAATTATTTGTTTTCGGGATGTTGCAAAATGTAAAATCTGTTGAAGTTTTTGGTGCAATGGAGTTTTGGTTGAAAGAAGGCGACATGTTAGATATGCTATGAGTTTGTGTTGAGGAGATGGCTACTTATAGGGGGGACTTCATATTATTTTCGTGTATTTTAATATAAAGTATTTAAGATTTTAAATTTATTATAATTAAATGATATTAATTCTGTTTTTCCTAATGGATGAAAAACAATAAAACACATCAAACAAATAAAAGGTTGATATTTAGGGTATGTTTGTTAAATTTTTGAAGCTGTGGTTTTGTAAAAATGTTTGAAAAAATAGTTCTAAACTTTCTAAATGTGTAAAATGGGGTAGAACATGAAAAATATGTAGCTTTTGGATTAAAATAAAAAATTTAATCTTGAACCATGTGATTCTTAATTGATTTTTTTTTATTAAAGACTAAAAACTTGTACATTAATAAAAACACTTCACTTTTGATGGATTTGCTAGGCTTATCTCCTGAATAAAATACAGGTTTATTTAATTAGTTTATGAACGTAAATTTCTATTTGAAAAATATATATATTAATAAGCAAAACGATTAATGAATCTGAAGTTAGTGGGTAAAGTTAATAACGAAAATGTTCTATCAAAATGGAAACAAAAACCACATAAAAAGATACTCAGCTCTTTAATAGAGTAATTCTTAACATGCAAAAAATACAAGTATATCGGTAAAGCTCTAACAAGAAGTTTTAATCTAACTACTAACTAGGAGGTTTTGGGTTCAATCTCATACATGGGAAATTTATATTTATTAGTCGTTCAAAAAAAATAAACATGGATAAAAATTAAGTCAAAAGTATTACAATTTCTTACTTGACATATACACTAGTAAAACATTGATTAACGTTCGAGTATCTTTATATATATATATATATTATATATATATATATATATATATATATATATATATATATATATATATATATATATATAACAAAACTATGTATACTTTTAAAACAACTAAAATAAAAAGAATTATATATCATTATTTAAAATTTATGTATATAAAATATGTGGAATATGAGGTTAACCCAAAGGACACTCCAATATGAGTGGACTTGACCCCAAGTCTTTCTCTTTCAAAGTCGTCTAAGATGGGAGACTTGACAAAGTAGAAAACGCAACTCCCTTTTTTTCCATACAAGACACAGTCACACAGTATTGTCCATACGTCTTTTTTTATTTTTAATAAATAAGTTTGAAATACTTTTTAAAATAAAAGGATACCCAAACTATTTTTTTTTTATACAAATTGTAATATGGTCACTGACTTATTAAGATTGAAAAGTTGATGTGTGTAAAGAAAGAATCGGTAGCAAGAGTTAGAGGTGCACAAACCGGGTTTTTTTTTCAAACCGGTTCGGTTCTAGTCAATGAAGTCAAAACTGATTCACCCCTAAACCGGTTCGGTTCTAAACCGGTTCACAACCAAAATAATCCGCACCTATACAAACCGGTTCGGTTTGAATTAAGCCGGTTCACTACAAACCGTGAGGAGTCGTCCAAACATCATAAGTTAAATTTACACCGGTTTCTAAAGCTTCAAATCCTAAAATCATTTCATTTTTTGCAAGTTTCCACATTTCAATACAATCGTGTCTTAGGGAAGTAAGACTGACATGGCAATATCGCAATTGGAGAGTATCTTGGATGAGTGAAGTCAATCGTTTGTTGTTGAAGTGCTCAAAAGGCAAGCATTCTTGAATCACGAACTTCACCATCCTATCATGAACTTTAGCAGCTTCGTAATTCCACAATGTAGTATCTTTCGCCATTGTTTGTTTGATTATGCCCCAGCCCAAATTTCACCACGGGGCACCTCTTCGTCAGATGAGTTTTCAATGTCGAATTCCCTTCTTCATTGAAAAAAGCATCACATTTCTTACATCACGTTTTTCTTGGACCGCTCGACATTAGACACAAATCAAAATTGCCCCAAAGAGCCGGATTCCCTTCTTCATTGAAAAAAGCACCACATTTCTTTGATGCTAACAACGGTAACATTGTTTGATTAATCTCCAACACCAACGAAAGTCGAATCCATTGTTTAACTTAAGAGTATTTTTTTATCAAAGAGAGATTTTAGTGTAACATCCGGATTTCCAGGTATAATATTTTAAGTATTTATTTTTGAGGATCATTGATCTACTCGACGAGTTGGTGCTATAACTCGCCGAGTAGAGACGGGATGGCCACGTGGATTTAATGATCTACTCGACGAGTCCGGGAGTAGACTCGCCGAGTAGGCGCTGGGAGTGAAAACCCTAGATCCCCGGGTTTGAGACCTATTTAAAGGCACTTATAGCCTCCTTTTGCGGCCACCTTCCCCAGAGAGAAACCCTAACCTGCCCTTTTTCGCGCATATAGAGAGAGAGAGAGAGAGGCCATTTGGTGCATTCTTGAGCTTTTTGGAGGAAAGATTGGAAGAGTTGGTGAATCTAATCAAGAGGAGGCTGTGGATCTTGCATTCTTCTGTCATTTGCTGCTATTCAGAGGTATAAAGCTCTTATCTTGACCGCTTGTTTGTTAGATCCCATTTTGGGAGCTTTAAGAGTTTTTGTAACATCCCAATTTCCAAGCCCAAATTTTTTTTTTTATTTTTAGTAATTCTCAACATAGTTTACCAAAACATTTCCCATGCCATATCATTTGCAAACAAAACTATAACAATGTGTCTGAAATCATAATGTCAAAGTAAAAATCAATCAGAGTACAATCCCAGAAACTCCATTCGGAAATCATGTGTGTGTGTGATGCGCTGCTACACTGCCGGCTCCTTCCCCTTAGACGAAGAGGTACCTGAAACCAAAACTAAAACTGTAAGCACAAAGCTTAGTGAGTTCCCCCATCATACCACATACCATACAGACATATCGCATTCATACTGCCGGGCAATTCTGGGGTGCCCGACCTACCCAGTACGGCCATTCTGGGGTGCCGACCTACCCCTGTCAAGCCATTCTGGGGTGCTGACCTACCCATGTCAAGCCATTCTGGGGTGCTATGACATCCTCATTTTCACGGCCAGAAAAGACCGATTTTGTTTATGCTTTATAAAAATCAGAGTACTTCTTTTAATAAAAATCTTGCGGAATTTGTTCCCAGAAAAACCTGATAAATACGTTATCAAAGCATTTCCGAAGAAATGTATTTTTATTCATTTTAAAACATTTGGGATGTCATCGTTAATACAGAAACATAAGCATAAACAGAACTTACATTCATTTACACTAGTGATCTACATCTCTTTTAAATCTCTCAGTGTAATGTAACTTCATATCGACACCTGTGATACAAATAAACTGAGTGGGTCAGGTTGGGAAACCTGGTGAGTACATAGGGTTTTCAACCCACAATAATATAATTATTATGTTTAAACATCAAACAATCAACCCAATTACCCATCCCCATTATCTTCTTTACTCTTAAGGATCTACCCTAAGAATCAATTATTCCTCCTTCATTCATTCCTAAGGATCATCCTAAGGAATCGGCACGAAGTCCATCGTTGTCAATGACACAGCTACTAGTTCTATCACTTAGGCGCAGCTGCCAGAATTGTGACATTCTATGTGAGGCGCAGCTACCAGTATTGTCCTTCGAGCACAGCTGCTAGGGTTATCTCGTTTATTGACAGTATCGTTTTCGAGAGTCCACTCGCAATACATGTCAATGGGTTTTTAGAGTACACCGGTGAACACATCGTTCACAACACCTACAGGTTGCGAGCCTGCCAGTGTTCCACTGGACTGTCTAGAATAGTCTGTGGTTGTCATCCATACTCTGCTAGATGACGGGGTCATCATTTAGAAAAGGCTTCTCACATCGTCCACCTCTCACACTCACCTCGTGGTCTATAACACCTCTCAACTCATCATCCAACTCATATTCCATCTATTACATCTACCCATGTTTACCCAACATATTCTCGTAGATATATATATACAGTTTAAATCATTTAAAACATGTATAAAATCGTTCATCCAGCATAGATAGCAAGTATACAGATAATATGCACACATAGCACGTAATTTATTTAAAATACTTCATATCTATGTGTAAGATTAAGTAACTATGCACTCACTTGAAAAGGTGGTGATTCCGAACTCAGACAGCGCTTTGCTTCTTAAAAATAATTTCCTTCGACGAAACCTAGTATTATTACCACTAGAGTTTAGTATATTATTCGCCGAGACTAATTAATAGTCTAGCTATTACTACTATTATATAAGCGTTAAAAAAATACTTATATAACCCATAATAATAGCCCAAGTACTTATTATAAGTTCCTAATACCGTTACTATAATTAAATAAAAGTTATATTAAAAAATAGCGTAGGTGTAGCTCACTTACAGCGGGTTTTATAGAAAACCGGGCTTTGCTTGGAGCAGCATTCCCGAGCCGAAAAGCTCTTCTTCTCGGAGCCGTCGAGCACTCCGGGGCTTCCGCCTCGTGCTAGGGAGGTTCCCTAGGCTTTTCGGGGGGGGGGGGGGGGGGGGGGGGGGGGGGGGGGTTCGGGGCTAGAGAGAGGTTCTAGAGAGAGAGTAAAGAGAAGAAAGAATGGGAAAGGTGTGAACAAAATGAGGGTGGGAGAGGTTCTATTTATAGGATAAAAAATGGCTGAACTTGGTGCCACATGTCACCATCTAGTGGCAAGGCTTGGGGAGAAAGCAATGGCCAAGATTGTGCCACATCACCCATTTTCGCACAGCACACTTCCGACTTCTAAAATCCGTAACTTTCACATACAACCTCCGTTTTTGACGTTCTTTATATCCACGCGTAGGTAAACATAAGATCTACAACTTTCATTTTGACTCCGTTGGCTAATTCTCGACCAATCTTAAATTTAACAGTACGAGGAGATTATACTGTTAAATGTCCTTGTAAAATTCATTACTTCTACATACGGACTCTGTTTTCGTCTGTCTTTTTACCGTTGAGTTCCTATTAATGAGATCTTCAATTCTCATTTAGGTCGCGTAGGCCAAAAACCGCTCGATCGAAAATTCGAGTTTCGAGTTGTG